AGCTGCGTTCGTAGTTCTGCAAACTTTGCAAACCCCTACAGAATCGAGCTTTTCAGTTCAATCAGCTGCATTTCGATGTCCTCTGTGTCCAGCCAGTTAATGCGAGACAAATCCAGCTGCTCATTAAAGCTTTCTGGTTAATCAGAAAAGAAAACATTGGTCCACACCTGAAAGTCCTGAAAACACATTGTGAATTCTGTCTCGAGTCTACAGATGTATCCGTGTATTTCCGTGGTGCTGATGCTGTGCTGAGTGGACAGCTCCTGAAGCATTTGAAGGTCGGAATGTGAAAATTTCAACATCGCTTGAAAAAATTGCCAGCTAGCAACATCCCTCTCACTGGTAGGCTAAGTTAATTTTAGCCAATTACAAGTTGAATCTGGTAGTTGGGGTTGTTAGCTATGATACTGTCATTAAGAAGCGGCTATTTTGCGATGTGCACTGCTGGCCTGGCCCAGGCATTCATTTTTAATGCACCTTCTCAGATTAATTCACTGCATGTTGTGCCATTAGTTAACCCTTCGCGTGCCAGCTTTGGCACGCGTGCCCAGGGCTGCCGACCCCTGTTATAACTTTTGAGTTTTTGTTATAGGATAACGTTGGAGGGAGTATATAAATGAAACTCACAGGAGTGCCTTGGTGAGCTCTTGCATAGACATTTATTGTGCATGCTATTGGCTTCTTTCAAGTAAATAAATGCATTGGAGCTTGTTACTCTGTTTGTCTGCTTTTTCTTTTACACTACAGCTGTTGCCTGATGAGCCACTCAGACCCAGTACCAGATTACTCCTCATTTCCCAGTGATTTAACACCTGAGGCAACATCTGTCATTTTGGAGGACACCCAGAGACTGCATACAGTCTTACAGATGCAGTTCAGCTCCAATGCTACCAAGCTTGGCACCCTGCTTACATACCTGCTTCCCCAGTGTTGATCTACTTTGTTAAGGCCCATAGCAATCCACTTGTATACCACCTAATGCATTAAGGGAGAGGAGAATGTGAATTGTCTGGAAAGGGAGTTATTATCACCGTCCAAATTCATGTTGAGATCAGCAAAGATCATCATGTTAGAAGAAAGTACAGAGAAATGAGTAAGAAGAGCAGCAAAGTCATTAAAAAAATACTTCTCTGGCTTAGGTGGTCGGTAAACAGTATATATGATTTTAAGAGTATGTAGAGGGACCTTTAAAGTGGTGAATTTAAATGAGTGAAAGATGGGAACAGAGACAGGAAGAACTTTCCAGTGCTTGCAATGGATCATCGCAAGACCCCTGTTCTTCCCTAAGCCTCAAGTATGACAGGTTCAAAAAGACTCAGATGGAGTGGCTTCATTGAATGAGAAAAAGTCTCCAGTCTGTTGCAATGTTTCAGTCAAGAAGTCTAACTTACGGTCAGAGAGGAGATCCTGGACAAGATGCCCCTTGCCAGTAAGTGGATGTTTAATACACCAAAGCTAGGGGGTTAACATCCTGGCTGGTGTTATGGTAAGTATGACGAGTTGCAGACCAGGTGGACTTCATTGGTTTGGTGTTGTCATGGTTTAAACTTCGTCCAGATAGCAGCAGCAGCAGGAGAATTAGCAGCCTGAAAAAATTGAAAAAATTGAGAAAAATCCAGGACAGGATTACTCTTAAATACTCATATGTTGTTGTTGTCCAGCAATTATAAAGAGTGAAAAAGAGTGAAAAGAGTGAAAAAGCATCTAAAAGGGGAGAAACTACGGTTTGATGTTTTGTTTTGTTTTCCACATAATAACATAATACTTGATGTTGAACAAATTATTTGTTGCATTTAGTTAACTGTAGTTTTGGTGTGATGTGCAACTTTATTTGTAGACAATGTTTTGAAAAAGATCACATGTTTGCTTGTTCAAATATGTCAGAAATCATCAGCTTTTTATCAGCTTTTTATGGTGATATAATTTAACATTAATATAGACTGCATTAGAACATTTATGTCACATATTTATAAAACATTTGGAATACAGACAGAACTTTATTAACAACTAAACAAATTCATTTGTAAAATATGAAGAGATATATATATA